TCCCAACTTAAAAGGCTTGTCACAGGACCAGGCACCAACAGAGATGTTTAGACCTTTTCTTTCTAGGGTGCCCTCCCTCCACTGACCCAAACGGAAGAATTTCCGTCTCCCAGTCAGCCACCAACACTGGAGATGTGCAGGCCTGCCTCCCAACTCAAAGCGTGTTACCATGAAGAGATTCCAACCCCCACCCAGGCTGGAAGTCTTGTCCAGTCAGAAGGAACTGTGCCAACTTAATTTATCCAAATCTGAGCAAGTATCGAAGGCTAGAAACTCACTGAACCGGAGGGATGGCTGAGCAAAAGTCCTTGCAGGTGGTCACTTTGTCAGTCGGGTTTCATCACTTCCTCTTTGTCAGTGCCTCAAGGAGCTAAAGATGACCCCTTACTGGATACCAAATTTATTTCCAAATGCAATGGCTTCACTACTTAGTCTTTAGCTAAGAATAATCTAGAATCGTGCAGATTTAAACAAAGCAATGTTTTATTAGTTGTAACAAGTAAGGAGGCAGGGAGATCATCATTATTTATTTATTTTTAAGTTATTATTGTGAATTACGTGGGTTTACATGGGAGAACATCAGTTTTACATTCCTCCTATCGGATTTCATTTCATTGCCATGGTTACAAAGGGAGATCATTCTTGATGCAGAGTTTCCATAAACAGAGGATTCAAGGAGTTCTTGAGCTTTCAGGGAAATGAAGTCATACATAGTCATAAACATTTCTGGGAAATTGCATGCATTATTCAAGATAGGCAAGGTTAGCATTGGGTCTGATGCTTGCTGTCAGACTCGCACATCTAATATGGGTCAGAGTGGCTCTAATGACACAGTTCCAGTGAACCTTTGTTCCTTGATGTGAGTTTTAATGTTCTGGGGTCACTCAGAGATCAAGGAGGCCTTTATGTTCTTTCTCCAGATTGGAACTGGCTCAAGGACTGTGGCTTGAAGAATATTTGTAGCAAGAAAATGAACAGGAAGAGCAGGGTAGGGTCTGCTCTTATCCCTTAGCTCCTTTTACTATCTTTGTGCTTGTTCCCATTATGGAATGTTGAGGGGTCTCTTTCCAAAGAGCAACACCAAAGGATCTCGATTCCCGGGAACATGCTCATCTTTTCTTTATGTCTATTATTCATCTCTCATACTTTATATATGTTATAAGAAGGGAACCAGTCCCTGGAGAAAGACATCATGTTTGGGAAAGTAGAGGGCCACGGAAACAAAGAAGATTCCCAAAGAGATGGCTTATGCTCCGACATGGCGACGCGTGTGAAGGTGGAACAGTATTTAGTCCTGTTTCACGTGAGGTTGCTGTGAGTTGGAGTTGGCTTGATGTCATTCAAAACGACAACAACAACAACATATTTTTCTTATCTACTTTAACTCAAGTGCCCTTAATTAGCAATTTTTCAGCTCAGCTGGCTTCAGCATCACAGATGGGATTCAGTCCATCTAACAACCCTAAAAAATCTTCCTCTTACAAACGTCATCATCTCTCTTGTTCTCAGATAGCACACGTACGAATGCTTCTGGCAAAATATAAGTGTGCTGTATAAAACTTGATGTGCCGCCCAAACAAACATGTTATTAAAAATTGTGTTATTACATAGTACAGCCATTACCGTCACAAAGATCACAGAACACTCTAAGTTTTGTCTGCACGGGGTGACTTTGTTATTTTTATCTGTAAAAAACAACAACAAAACATAAGGACATGCTCACCATTTCTCATGTTGAAAGAAATGAAGGAAAAATTAAAGCCTCAGCTTTCAGTATTGATGGATTCTACGGACAAAATATTAAATGATCAAAAGAAGATGAAAGGAATACTCAGAGTCACTGTACCTAAAAGAATTGGTCGATGCTCAGGCATTTTAGGAAGTAGCATGTGATCAAGAACTGGCGCTATTGAAGGAAGAAATCTAATCTGCACTGAAGGCATTAGAGAAAAACAAGGCTCCAGGAATTTATGCAACACCCATTGGAGTGTTTCAATTAACTGATGTAGTGTTGGAAGCACGCACCAACCCACACCAAGAAATCTGAGTGACAGATACTTGGTCAGTGAACTGGGAAAGATCTGTGTTTGTGCCCATTCCAACATAAGGTGACACTGCAGAATGGAGAAATCATTGAACAATATCATTAAAGTCACAGTAAAGTAAAATTTTGCTGAGGACAATTTAAAAATGGTTGCAGAAATACATGGACAGGGAGTAGCTAGAAATTAAAGCTGTGTTCAGAAGAGGACATGGAGTGAGGGATACTATCGCTGGTGCCAATTGAAACTTGGCTGAATTCTGTCTACTTGTACCTCATTTACAAGTAAATTTGCAAAGGCATACAACAGTGTAGATAATAGCAAACTATGGACAACAGTGCAAAGAATGGGTATTTCAGAATATTTAATCGTGTTTATAGACTCGGTGGCACTGTGGGCTAATACGCTGGACTGCAAAGTCGTTTGAACCACAAGGTTGGTGGTTCAAGCTCACCAGCTGCTCCTTGGAAACCGTACACAGGGTTGCTATGGGTTGGAACCCACTCGACAGCACTTAACAACAACAACATAGACTCCTGGTGTGGCGGTGCAGGATAAGCATTGGACTGCGAGTTACAAGGCTGATGGTTCAAACCCATCAGCTGCTCCTTAGAAATCCTATACAGGGTTGCTAAGAATCAGAATGGAATCAACAGCACTTAACAACAACAACCACAGTGTTTATGTAGGGGTCTGGCACAATAGGCAGTCACATGAACAGCACAAGGGGATACAGCATGGTTTAAAATTAGAAAAGGTGTGTGTCAGGGTTGTATTCTTTCACCATGCGTATTCATTCTGTAGGAGTCCGAGTGTGGCACTATAGGATAAGCACAGGACCACAAGGTAGGATTGAACCACAAGGATGGCAGTTCAAACTCACCAGTTGCTCCTCGGAAACTCTATGAAGAGTTATGAGTTGGCACCGACTTGACGGCACTTAACAACAACATTCATTCTGTATGTTGAACAAATATTTGGGAAACTGTACTATATGAAGAAGAACATGGCATCAGGATTAGAGGAAAGCTCATTAACAGCCAGCAACATGCAGATGACACAACCTTGTTTGCGGAAACGGAACAGGGTTTCTGGTACTTCCTGATGAAGAAGAAAGAATACAGCTTTCATTTGGGATTACAACTCAATGTGGAAATGAAAACAAAAGTCCTCACATCTGGATCAATAAACAGCATTATGTTAAGTGGAGAAAAGATTGAAGTTGTCAAGGAGTTCATTTTATTTTGATCCACAATTAACTCTCCTGAGACCAGCAGTCCAGAAATCAAGTGACACAACTGTAAAGGTAGAAGTTTTGTAACAAAAACAGGTGAGTAGTTAATCTTACAGTCCAGGAACAGAGGACCCCTAGGACCATCAAGGGAGAAGAGCATGAGCGAGCAGAATGTGGGACCCTATCTAGAGAAGCAGCGACAACAGAGACAGAGGCAGAGATGAGGACATGGAGAGAGGGAGCAGCTGAGGACTCTGGACTCATGGAAAGAGAAAGGCTGTGTGCTGGCGGCCAGGAGGCAGGCTTGTAGAATGTGCCCTTTGGCTGTTTAGATTATTATATATTCCTGAGTGTTTTTGTGTACATCCTCCACCCCCCACCCGCTGCCAAAAAACCACAAAAAATACACCCCAGAGGGAATAGAAACAAATACTGTTGAATGATGATACACGGAGAAGATTGTAATCATTGCAATGAAATAATGAGTGTAAAACTGATGTTCCCCCATGTGACCCATCACTCAATTCACAATAAAAACTTAAAAAAGAAGAAATCAAGTGACATATTTCATTGGGCAAATCAAGAGTTAAAGAGCAAAAATGTTACTTTGAAGACTAAGGTGCACCAGATCCAAGCCATAGTTTTTTCAATCGCTTCATACACATGTGAAAGCTGGACAATGACTAAGGAAGCTGGGTAAAGAATTGATGCCTTTCATACTGGTGTTGATAGGTTCATGAACGCCAGAAGAACAAACCAATCTGTCTTCAAAGAAGTGCAACCTGAATGCTGCTTGGAGGCAAAAATGGTGAGACTTCCTCACAAGTATTATGGACATATTATCAGGAGGAACCATCCCTGGAGACAGGACATCATGCTTATTTAACTAGCGTGTCAGGAACAAAAAGGAAGACCCTTTTTGAGAGTCTTCAGATGGATTGACAAGGGCTACAACAATGGGCTCAAAAATGAAGACAATTGTAGGATAAGTGTAGGGACAGGCAGTGCTTTCTTCTCATGCGCACAGGGTGACTTTCCCTTGGAGCCAATCCTACAGCTCCTAATGAAACCAACAACCTTGTGTATTAAGTCCATCTGAAAATTGTCCTTGAAATTTCTAGATCATTCCCTCTTATTTCCAGGTCAGTGGTTCAAACCCACCAGCTGCTCCTTGGTAAACCCTATGAGTCGAAACCAACTGAACAGCATTTAATAATCACAACAACAGTAGACTTAGTTAATGTTGTTGTTGTCAGGTGCCATCGAGTCGGAACCGACTCATAGCGACCCCATGCACAGCAGAACAAAACAATGTCTGATCCTGGGCCAACCTCACCACCGCTGCCACACTTGAGTCCATCAATGATGCCACCTGGCCGATCCATCTCATTGGGGGTCTTCCTCTTTTTCTCTGACCCTCCACCTTACCCAGCATGACATCCTTCTCCAGCGACTGTTCCCTCCATACAATATGTCCAAATTCAATATTGATGTTGGTATAATGACATCGTCATCGCATTTCTTCATCTACATAACTTCCAACTAATCTTTGTTGTTCTTTTATTTTGTCCAACGTATTCTCATCTCATGTTTATCACGTCACAGAAGCCCACATAATTCATCCTCTTTCTGCTTCTCCACCTCATCATTTTCTTGTCCTTTCTGTATTTTTTCCCCTTGTTGTATTTAATGCTATGTCGTCTTCCTCGCGTTTCTTATTCTAGGACACAAGGGCCACTGTAGAGAGGATCAGCCAGTTCTTGGGCAAGGAGTTAAGCCCAGAAGAATTCAACTCAATCCTGAAGAACGTATCTTTCGAAGTCATGAAAGAAAATAAGATGAGCAATTTTTCCCTCGTTCCAGAGATGTTTATGGATCACACCAAAGGGAAATTGATGAGAAAAGGTAAGAGAAATTTCTGATTTCAGGATATGAAGAAAAGAGAGGAATAATTCACCTGCTTTTGTTGATATCCTCCAAAAATGGGATGAAGGAAGTATTTGAATCTTTAGACAGAGATATGTGGGTGGCTACAAAGCTAGAAAATTGTGGGGGTTATTCCAGATGAATTCCACAGTATAAATAAAATTGAGTTCAGGTATCAGCTGAGCAACAAAATGGGAAATTATTAAAGAGAAAGCAATAAAATTGGGTCTGCTCTTTGTAGTATCATGACTGAGTGTAGTGATTTTAAAGGTAGCTTAATAAGCAGTTTTGTCTGTGTTATATCCTGTCTTCTTTAAAGTCAGATTTATCTTGGAAGAGGAGAAGATGAAATGAATTCTACATAGTGAGAAGGGCAGGGAGCTGACAGTGTAAGAGTAATTACAGTAATCATTGTTGTCATTTAATCTGAATAATAAAGTACATTAATTCATGAGGAAGCTCTCACAATGCGACCGGAGGAGTTGCCTCCCCAAAGTAGAGTTGACCATGATGACAGGAATGGAGTAAAACTTTTGGGACCTTCCTTTGCTGATGAAAAGAAAGAGGAACCCATACATTTGGAGTCTCATTGAACCTGAGATTTTAGGGAAAGTGAAATCTTCATGGGAATGATGAGGAAGTACAGCCACTGATATTCTGAGAATGGGGTATGTGAAGGCGAGAGCATGGAGGAAAATGCATAATGAGAAGATTACAGCATGTAATTTAGGGTTGAGTGGGGTGTAAGGTCATTAGATGAGAAGCAATGCGGGAACAGAAAGCAAGTATTAGAAGACTGATTATCAGAAATGAAAAATTCACTTAGATTTTTATTATAATTGTTATGGGAAAAATTCCAGTGTGCTATGAACTAAAACCATTGCACACCTGTCACTTTGTTATACTGGCATGTGTTGCCGCCATGTTGGAAGCTGTATCAATGGTATTTAAAATACTGGCAGGGTCACCCATGGTGGATAGGTTTCAGTGAAGCTTCCAGATGAAGACAGACAAAGTAGGAGAGAAGGACTATTTCTGAATGTTTACACACTGAAACCTTGTGAATCGAAAAAGAACATTGCCAGAGATAATACGAGAAAATGAAAACATTAGGAGTAGCACCAATTTACGGTCAGATATATGTTGGAAGCTGAGCTCCTCAAATTGGAAGGTACTCAAAATAGGACTGAAAAAGAGCTGCCTCCTCAAAGTAGAGTTGGCTGTGATGACGTGAAAGTAGTTGTTGTTGTTAAGTGCTGTTGAGTCGGTTCTGACTCATGGCAACCCTGTATAGGGTTTCTGAAGAGCAGCCGATGAGCTTGAACTACCAACCTTGCAATTCAATAACCCATAGCACCACACCAGTGAGTTGAAACAGATATTGGCCATTTTGAATCTGAACCATATGATTTACTACGCCAGGAACGACAAATTCAAGAGGAATGGCATA